CTATTTATGATTACATTCATTATCATCTTCTTTTACTTATCACCATCTTCTATCTTTTCTACTTGCATTACTTATTTAAACATAACTTATTTGCTTACGCTTGTCATTATTCACATTATCACAATTGCAAATTGATCGAACTCTATACCAAATTTTAGATTTTGATTGAACTCAATTGATTATTGCTTTGTATATTTTTAGTTATGTTATATCGTAATATAAGTTTGGTTTGAATATCGGATATTGAAATTTCACATATATTAGAATTCAAAGTAAAAATTATATATTTATTTACATGTCACTCAAATATATATATATATATATATATATATATATATATATATATATATATATATATATAAATATTTTAAATATTAGCTAAAAATATTAATATTATCTAAACTAAATTTTAGATGAACTTAATAGGTTATTGGTTCGGATATGTTTTTAGTTAGGTTATATACATATATAAATTTGGTTTGAATATCAAATGTAAAAATCTTACATATATTAGACTTAAAAGTAAAAATTATATTTATTCAATTTAAACCAAACATATCTTAAAATATTTTAAATATAAGGTCTAAAAATCCCTCAAAATTAAACTTGTGTTAATTTTATAACGTTAATCTAAAAAAAATAAAAATTAAGTGTTAGTAAACAAGTTCTCTAAACACAAAATAGAGAATGTTTCAAAGAATTAAAACTGAAAATTTGAAAAATAGAAAACAAAAAAACAGTTTTATGTTAGTAAACAAGCCCTATAGAGTCCGTTTACTAACTGGAAAATTTCTCCAATTTTTTAGAAAACTGGAGAATTTGAGAACAGAAAATAGAAACATGTTTACTAGCACAATTTTCCATTTTGAAAACATGAAACAATTTTTCTACTTGGCTATATGTCACTATAACCACATGCTCACCATTATCTACTTACATATCTATTTATAATTACATTCATTATCATCTTCTTTTACTTATCACCATCTTCTATCTTTTCTACTTGCATTACTTATTTAAACATAACTTATTTACTTACGCTTAAAGTTAGCCATTATTCACATTATCAAATTTTGAAAATTTAACTCTATACCAAGTTTTAGATTTTGATTGAACTCAATTGATTATGGATATTTTTAGTTATGGTATATCGTAATACAAGTTTGGTCTAGATGATGGATATTGAAATTTCACATATATTAGAGTTCAAAGTAAAATTACTCCATATATATTTATTTACATGTCATTCAAATGAATATATCTAAAAATATTTAAATATTAGCTAAAACATATTAATATTATCTAAACTAAATTTTAGGTGAAATTAATAGGTTATTGGTTCAGATATATTTTTAGTTATGTTATATACAGATATAAATTTGGTTCGAATATTAAATGTAAAAATCTTACATATATTAGACTTAAAAGTAAAAATTATATTTATTAAATTTAAACCAAACATATCTTAAATGTTTTAAATATAAGGTCTAAAAATCACTCGAAATTAAACTTGTGTTAATTTTATAATGTTAATTCAAAAAATAAATTTGAAAAAATAAGTGTTAGTAAACCAGTTTTCTAAATAGAAAATACAAAATAAAAACTGAAAAATTAGAAAATAAAAACACTTTAAATTCCCGTGAGTAACACGAGGCCTCAATGACTTTGATTCTTATTATTTATAATTTACTTACAAAAAATGTTACAATATATCATAAAATTCTTCTTCTAATTCTTCCTCCACATAAACATTCTCAACTTTATATAGTATTAATAAGCACCTATAAACAAAACTATTTCATGTGAAAATTCATTGAATACAAAAATTTATATCAATATTATAAAACATATAGTAAAATTTGACGGTGATTGAAAAAAAGTTTGCTTTGTTTACGGAGAGAAAATTTGTAAAAGGAAGTTCAGATCTTTATGGAAAAAATATTTGTAGAGAAAATGATAGTAGAGAAAAAACATAGCCTGCTTGGTTCATGTTTTCTCATTCATGATTACTACCAGGAAGGAAGTCTCAACTACTAGTGCTTTCTTATTCAACTAACCCCCTTTGTAGAGCCCCCCTCTGCTTATAGATTCGGTCTTTAGCTTCATGGCATCTAGGAGCCGTGGTAAGGAACAGTATGGTGCGTTCAATATCCATTATGAAGATGAAGTGTTTGTTTCAATTCATTCGAAGATGAGGAGGCTAATGTACTATTCACAATGAAGTGGAATCTTTTATTCTTGTTGGTTCCTTGCTGTACTAACAAAGAAAATGATGAAATTTAATTTTATGAAGAAAACTATGGCAACCATTTGGCACTCGGGGAGGGAATGATAGTGAAGGAGGTAACGACAAAACTATACCTGTTTATCTTATTTGTTTCTTCCATGAGAAAGATATCCAGATGGTTCTTGATGACGACCCGTGCAGTGGGCCGTGGTCTTACGAACAAAACCTTTTGGTTTTCATCGTTTAGGCACCCACCCATGAATCGCTGGCAAA